TGGTGACAAGAAGACTTGGATTAGCTACTGTGATACACCTGGGTGGAAAGGCAACATGCCCAAGCTGGACGTGTGCAATGGGAGCATTGTGCATGCTGGCAGCACTGCGAAGACGCTCCATCTGTTCGCAGCGTTGGTGATGGGGCCCGTGCGCCAGGGTCCCGCCCTGGCGCTACCTTACCACTGCATGGCACCCTCCCCTGTGCAACGGAATCGCCATGTGCATGTTGCTGCAGCTCTCGAAGCCAGCTGCTTGAGCACATCCACTCCATATTCACTGCACTCCCTGGCTCCAGCTCCAGCCTCACCCCTCTCTGCCTCCTTAACCCCCCACTTGCGCTCTGAGGTGGGAGAGATTCTCTGTTAGCGACACGTCGACCGCGCAGTTGCCGACCCCCGACGCCGCATGCCAACACCAGCTCTGACCCTCACAGACTGCTCAGTGCGCCGCCACAGGATTTCCGTACCCATCTCATGGCCTGGCAGTCGCCCTCGGCCATGAACGGCAGCGGTGCCAATGGAGGCGCTGACGGGAATGCGCCCGCCGGCACTGAATACACTCTGCAGGGTATGCTATCTTCTTTTATCCTCGACCGGTAGCGCTCCGCCGGCGGGACAGTAGTGGGCTAACCCAACGGCCAGGTGTTATGCGATTTCTCCAGCTCGAATGGCACAACCACGAGCGTGCCCGCAATGCATGGGACATTGAGCGCGCAGAAATGAAGGCCAAGATTGCAAAGCAGGAGGGCGAGGTCCGCAGTGCGAAGAAGCTCAACGACCAACTCAACAGGCACATCCGCATGCTCGAGCAGGCCCTCACCAACGAGAGGAAAAACAAGGCCAACGCTGCAGGCGGCGACGCTGCCGACGACAAGGGCAAGAAGACTGGCGCCGGCCTGACCAAACGTGCGTACACAATAAACATGTCACAGCGGGCCCCTGGTATACTGACATGTCAACACAGCCCAGAACACCAAGCACAACTCCTTCCTCGACGTCGACTCCGAGTTCCTCGACCGCTCCGAGGCCGATCGCGATGGTCTGCGGGAAAAGTCGAAGCTCTATCTCACAAAATGCGTTGAAGAGATTACATATCTCCTTACCCCCCCGCCTCAACCCCAGCCCCAACAACAGGGCATGCAAGCCCTCGCAAACGGCACTGGATTCATGGGCCATGGAGATGCCTCTATGGAAGACATCTACCTGCAACATAATCGCCAGAGGCTGCAGTCGCACCTTCCCACCATGCCCGGACCTCTGCCCAACTACCAGCCCCCCAACATTCCCGTCACTTCTGAACTACAGAATCTGCCCCCCCAGCACCAGATCCACCATGCCCCGCAGATGGCTCGAGAGCCTTCCCAGCAACAGCCACTCGCTCAGAACCCAAGTTTGACTCAAGACCTTTCTGGGCAGCAACGTCAACCCCCAAACCAGCAACACTATTCTTCCGTGCCTGACGAGCAGGTCGAGAAGGTGACACACGCTTTTGACAATGCAGGCCGGCAAATAACAGGCCAAGAGGAAGATGCTGCAGGAGCAAATCAGGTGCCAGCCCAGGAAAAAGAGTCAGACGAGTGGATTTTTGACCCTGCGTCTGATGTAGCCCAGGAAGGGCCACCAAGGAGACCAGATGTCGAGGAGTTCCCGTCCGCAAATAGCATTCCTGCAAAATCTCCACCCCGGCCAGCCAAGAAAACAAGTAAAGATCATACTAGACGACTGAGTAGTGACCACAAGGCTCAACAAGTCGCTGCACAAGCGGCCTCAAAAGCGGATCCGCAAAGTTTCAAGGTCCGATTCGCCCTCCGTGGTCATCTGGATGTTGTGCGGTCCGTCATCTTCACGGGAGGCGGCAGTCCCAGCGAACCAGAAATTTGCACAGCGGGAGACGATGGTATGATCAAGAGATGGATGATACCTGCAAGTTATGCGAGTCAGCACACCATGAACAATGATTTGGACATTCAGCCCTTCTGGTCGCATAGAGGTCATGAGGGTGCTGTAACATCCCTAGCTGCTTGCCCCGCCTCTGCTCATTTTGCAACTGGTGGCAGGGTATCGGGCGACGGCTGGATATTCTCGGGCGGCCAGGATGCGACAGTTCGCGTATGGGAGCGAGGCCGCGTCGATCCAAAAGCCACCCTGGAAGGTCACACCGATGCTGTTTGGACGGTGTGTGTTCTCCCCACCACTTGCGGAAATGTTTTCGGAGCCGACAGCAGCAAATACGGCGGCGCAGATCGAGTGATACTGGCTTCTGGCTCTGCAGACGGAACCATCAAGATTTGGGCAGTTAGCGCGCCGCCCCAGTTGGTGTCGCCTCAGACTGGGTCACGCCGCGGTGTTGGTGGTAGTCGAAGGCACTCAGTTACTTCTGGATCGAACCACCCATCATCGCCACAGCCGAGCATTGCTACCAGCACACCATTCCATTACATGCTCATTCACACTATTGAGCGCGACACGCACCCCTCGCCTACATGCATCAGCCCGCTCTCCCCCACTGGCGAGAACTTTGTTGTTTCTTTTACGGATGCATCGATACTAGTTTACGACACAAGAACAGGCGAAGAGTTGATTGGTATGGCCAGTAACGAGTCCTACGATGGGACACCAGCGACTGGGATTACCTCTGTCGTGACGAGCTCCCAATACCTTGAAGGCCCATCACAGGAGGGAGGCCGTGGCGGTTCTGATGAAGAAGGGATACATGGTCCAACTGGATCAAACAGCAGTGGCGGCGTTGAAGGCGTCATCATAAGTGGGCACGAAGATCATCTCATCCGATTCTTCGATGCCAATTCTGGTATGTTCACCCCAGTTGTCTACCAAGACACCCTTTCTAACGTCGGTTATAGGCCAGTGTACATACAGCATGCTCGCACATCCCGCTGCCATCTCTTCTCTTTCTCTCAGCAAAGATGGCCGCGAAGCTGTTTCTGCTGGCCACGACGCTTCCATTCGCTTTTGGTCACTCGACAAACGTATTTGTACCCAAGAAATCACCGCACATCGCATCATGCGCGGCGAAGGCGTATGCAGTGTCGTCTGGAGTCAGGACGGCCGTCTCGTTGTCTCGGCAGGTGGTGATGGCATAGTAAAGGTCTTTGCAAGATAGCCTCTTGTGGACCTAATAACTGTGACTTCACCTCGCATAGTTGAACCTCTGTCATTTCGCGTGAACTATTGGCATTTTTAGTTGGACATACCCTGGGGTTTCCATCCCTTGTAGCACCGTTATGATGCAACGGGCTAGAATCGATGTGGACAGCATGAATGATGGGAAATATATGGGGTCATGGTAATTGTTTTTCGTTTCGATGCGCGTGCATCTCAGCCGATGTTTCTCGTGCTCACCTCGCAAGGGGGCTCGGATTGCATACTCGGGCAAGTGATGGAATGGGTATGCGTTGGCGCATTCACGTTATCCTTTTATACTTTGTATTATATGACAGGACAATAACCCGGTGCTGTAATGGCATCTCCTGGCAACAGGTTGTATTGTAGTCCGCATGAAACGACGTTGACGAAGGGTAATTTGCAGGAAGAGCGCTGTGTAGTGAAGAGTTGATATTGCGCAATGATGGGTTGGCTAGCCGATTGTCGCTGGGTAATCGGAATGACGCCATTCGCCACGTGCAATTGGGCATCTCAAATTATTCCTCGCTGTTTGCCGGCGAGCCCAACAACATCAAAGCCAACTAAAGCTACACGCTACTACACACTGCCTGCTTCAAAATAACCATAATCTTCTGTACTGCTGTTGACTGCAAAATGAAGGCATACTGGTTCGATAACCTTGAAGTAAGTTCGTGTTGTTCCGTTCTCCACGACCTAAACACATGACTTACTTCGTCAGGGCGACCAACGCCTACCTCACAACTCCGGTCGCTCAGTAGATCCAGACTATCTGGAGAAACTAGGCGTCGTCTATCACCACGTCCCTGAAGTCTCTGGCGTTGACGAGATTGCTACATCTCGCAACTACAAGAACCGGGATGAGGTTACCATCAGCCCCGAGAAGATGGGCGATATTTACGAGGAAAAAGTGAAGACTTTCTTCAGTGAGCATCTGCACGAGGACGAGGAGATTCGCTACATTCTTGACGGTGCGGGTTACTTTGATGTCCGGAGTGAGGGTGACGACTGGGTCAGGATTTGGCTTGAGAAGGGTGATTTGATCATCTTGCCGAGCGGCATCTATCATCGCTTCACCACTGATGAGAACAACGTAAGTTGGGAATACGGCGCCTTTTGGTCCAAATAAAAATGCAGTGCTAATATTGCATTACAGTACACGAAAGCTATGCGATTGTTCAAAGATGAGCCCAAGTGGACGCCGCTCAACCGAGGCAAGGAGACGGATGAGAACCAATACCGAAAGGAATATCTGAAGTTCAGACAGGGTCTTGCTGCGTAATTAAGATTAGTTAGACCAACTCCGAAATTACCTATTATTGATTTCTTCGTAACAACTCTTTGTCTTGTTCGATTCCCGGCCTCTCCAGGCCTATTCTCCACACTCCACATTCCGTCTTTACGCCCAGCTTTGTCTCCGCGTTCGGAATCCACCTTCACTGTTACTTTTTCACCGCTCTAGCCACAACCGCCGAAACCCCCGGATCCAGGTACACCCCAAGTCTTCGTGGCGCCAATGAACGTTGACTATCGGACCTATTCAATGCGACCTCGGTAGAACATCAAAGCGAAGCGTGTAAATTTTCTTATGCCTAGCCCCCTTAAGCCTACATGATGGCGTCATGCAACAAACGAGGTAGTCCAAATCCGGAAATCTGGGGATCCCGTAGCGCAATTGGTAGATGTGGAGTGCATGTCTGGGGTATCCTTATCCAATACACATCACTATGCCCACCATCACGCATTCAGCATCGCGCAAAGGCCCGATGGCTTGTTTGCAGGGATAAACATCATGTTAAAAGGCAACTGAGAGCTCGCTCCTGGTGTCAGTCAGCACTTGGATTCTGGGGCAGATTTCCATGATGGTCAACCTCAATATATATCTAATGGGTGCTTGCACTTGGGGTCAGGCTGCCTATGCGTAAGCAGTGCTTGAAAACGCATTCACATTACGATTAACTAATATTAAAGCATAGATTCGTTGACTATGGCAACGTCTACCCAAGGAAATACTCGCTCAGCGGAGAAGTTCAAGTGGCTGACCTGAGTTATGACAATACTACCGCCATAACGTTGTCGCCTGAGAATCCCGTCATCACGCTCGATTATGGTACCGAGGTTGCTGGCTTCCCGTTCTTTGTCGTTGCAGAAGGCGCATCTCCAGCGCAGATTGAGGCCGCATACTCAGAGGCCTATGCATACCTCGCCGACGAAAATGCTGATGGACCATGGACTTTTTCCAACGGCCTAGCGAACAGCTGGCGGGTTGAGACATTCAACATCACCAGTGGAGGTCACACTGAGAGCTTCTTTGTGCAAGGCGGGCAGCGATGGCAAACCATCCGTCTGCTTACGAACCATTCGTTGACCTTCGAGAGTGTTGGCTTCCGGGCAACGAGCGAGCACAAAGATTTGGACGAGCAACCAGGTCGCCTAAAGACCAATAACGACGTTTACAACAAAATATTTGATCTTGGTGGACAAGTCGTCCAAGCGGCTTGCGTGGATGCCGGCAATGCGCCTTCGACCTGGGAGCTAACCGATGAGGGAGCGTACATTCGCGGTCAGACCACTGCTCAATCTTCTATCGGGCGTGTAATGAACCCTGCCAACTACACATTAGAGTTCGATACAAAGATTGTAAGAGGCGGAACAGGATGGCGTGTAGCCAGCGCGATTCAGCCACTCGGACCGTATTTCGTCTTAACTTCCAACTATCCAGAGCAGAATACGTTTGTAAACACGAACAGAACGCTGGTCCCGCCCAACACTCTGATCGTCAACGCGGGGTGGAACTTGCTCAATCAGTCTACTCTAACCACACCTGCGAATGAGTATTACCCTCTGAACATATCTGTAGAGGAGAACAAGTGGTACCACATCGTCACCGCTATCAAGGAGGATGGGTACAGCATCAGTCTCAACGGAGAGAACATTGCTTTCGTCCCACTGCCGCCGCCACTATCACCTCCTGTTTTCTTCAGCACAGCCTCTCGATATGAAGGCACATGGGGTTTTGGAGGCTTCCAAGATCAAATCAGTATTGTCGCAAACGTATCAGTTGCTGCATCCAACAAGACCATTATCTACACCAACGACTTGAAATCTCCTGGTGTCCTGGCCGAGTACGCCGTAGCACCGCTCGCCCACTCTGTCTGTCTAGATGGCGCAAAGCGTGATCGTCTTGTCTGGATCGGAGATTTCTACCACACTGTCCGCGTACTGGCCCAGTCAAGCGCACGCTGGGACTACATCCTTGGATCCATCGACTACGCCTTCGGCTACCAGGCGAAAACCGGTCCCTTCACCGGCTTCGTGCCCATATCCGCACGTCTAGGCACGCGACCAGAATACTCAGACGCAGACCCAGCAGGACCCGGTCTAGTCGACTACCAAGACCTCTTCCTCGCCTCAATCGGCCAATACTACCGCTACACCGGCGACGCAAAAGGTCTAGAGCCGTACTGGGAAAACATCAAGTCACTCCTCCAAACCCGCCTCACATACATAGACCCAGCCAGCGGTCTCGTAGCCGGAAGCACCGCCGCTCCAAACCCAGGCTCCTTCCTCGGCCCCCCAAACGGCACCGCAGTAACAGGCTTAATGTCCTTTGCCCTCCAGCAAATCGTCCCCTTAGCCCTCGCCCTGCAAGACACCGCCACCGCCACTCTCGCCAACACCACCGCGCATTCCCTCAACGACGCCCTCAACACCAAACTCTGGAACCCAGAGCTAGGAGCCTACTCCCTCGGCCTCGACTCCCCCGGAAACTTCTCCCTGACAGGAATCGCCTGGTCCATCCTCAGCGGCGCCGCAAACGTCTCTCAAATCACCTCGTCCCTCGAGCAACTCGAATCCCTGCGTTTCGGCGCCGGCTACAAGACAATCTCGTCCGACGAAGAAACAAGCGAATACCAACTCGCCCCCAACCCCTCGGGCTTCCTCCTCGAAGCCCTGTTCCTCGCACAACAGTCCCACGGCATCGACGCAGCAAAGGCCCCGATTGAGCATCTGCTAGATGGCCTCTGGGGCAGCATGGTGAATGATGAGCGCTACGCGAGCGGCGCCAGCTGGGAGTATGTCAAGCCCGATGGACGGCCCGGTATCACCGCGTTTACGAGTTTGGCGCATCCCTGGGGGGCGGCGCCGACGTACGTGCTGCCCGAGTATCTGCTGGGTGTTACGCCCGTGACGGCTGGGTATAAGAGGGTGGTTGTGCAGCCCGCGGTCGGGTATCTGGGGTTGGGTAAGGTGGACGGCAAGGTGCCGACGCCGTTTGGATCGCTGGAGGTCGGGTGGACGGTTGAGGGGGACAAGGCAAAGGTTGTGATTGTGGCTCCCGAGGGGATTGAAGGGGAGGCCAAGGTGCCGACGGGGTGGAAGGTAGATGGAAAGGAGGAGGAGGGTGGTGTGGTCGTGTTGGGATCGGGGACGACAGAGATTGTTTTGTGTACTGTGTAGATATGTGTGGGTTGATAATGTAATTGACCTTGGATTTGGTTTGCTTGAACATATTTGCAAGGCTTCCAGGGGGTCCATATAAACCCTTTCATCAATACACGGATAACTTGTCTATTTCCATAACAATTCGCATTGGTCGAATATAAATATATGTATTGACCAAAAGCAAAACCAGTCCAAAAGGTCGCAGTGCTCAGACTTTGACCCTCTACTCCCCAAGCATCCTGACTATGAATTCAAGTGGGCTAGAAATATACAAAATAGTGCAGGCTAGCACTGTGGGTGTAAAGCGGCAGAAAGGATAACTAAAATAAGAGAGTGTAAAAAGAGAGAAAAGTGTAACCCAACGCCCCTTGCTCACAGATATCCAAACCCCCTCCTCTGAGCCATCCTAACGCTCAAGAGGCTGATAGTTCTGTCTTGAACCTAAACGAATTCCAAACTCCAAAAGGAAAAAAAATAGAAACACTCTTTGACCGCACAAGTTTGCGAGGTTGTGTTCGCTGCTCACGCCACATAGTAAAGCTTCATGGCACTCAGCACCCTCTTCCTGCAGACGGGACAGCTCTGCACCTCCCTTGCACAAGGAAGACAAGCCACGACGTGCCCGCAGTCGTAAAAGGCAGCTTCGGCATCGCCGTCCCAACAAATTCTGCAAAGCCGTTCGGCCTCTTGAGCACTCTTCCAGTGCGTAACGCCTTCACCAAACTTCTTGTCGTTTTGCCATCCACCAACATATGTATTGCCGCTCGTCGCCTCGACGTACGTGCCAGTGCCGTGTTGCTGGTCGTCAGCCCAATCGCCATCATACGTATCGCCGTTCTGGAATGTGTACAGTCCGTGGCCGTGGCGTTGATTGAGGCGGAAGGAGCCATTATAGACAGCGCCAGAGTGATAGATGAGAGTTCCGTGACCATGACGATAGCCGTTGACAATCTCGCCCTTGTAGCATTCACTCGAGAAGTAGTTGTATGTGAAGTGACCGTTGAGCTTGTGAGGAAAGTTTCGAGCAAAAGAGCGGAACTTTAAATATGCTTGAGGTTCTGCGAACGCAGCACGGGCTGCGAGAACGCCCTTTTGTTCAGCGCTGATAGGCATGGCAGCAATGATGATGCTCGTGTTATGAATGTCAAGTTGTGTAAACGTGCGGCGGTGCCGAAGGGCTCGCGTAGTGCCAATATCCTCTTCTTCCCATATTTCCAGCCTCTTCTTCTCTTCTGCTGGAAGCCCGAGCAGAGCAACGATCGTCTCATCAACCCTGTGGGACTTGAGAGTGACGTGCGAGCCCTTGGATTCCAGAGCCTGTTTTTCTGGGTTCCAAAACTTAAGGAAGAAATAAATTTCGTCTGCTGGTGGCTTCGGCGATGGGGTACGCGCTGGTGGAGGTGGAGGTGGCTGTATATTTTCAAAGGAAATGTCCATTGGTGGTGGCGGAAGAGGCGGTGCTTCCTCTTGTGTGCCACCCATCTCTGTATCATCAGGCGTTGAACTCGGGATGACCACGTCGACAGCCGGTGGATCGGTCGCAGGAGTTGACTCTACCTCGATCATAGCAGTATCATCAGTTTGAACAGGCTCTGTAGGCAATGGATCTTCGTGTTGTCTAACAGGAGGTTCGGAACGATCAATCTGTGCAGCAGCAGGCTCCTCTACCTCGCTCATAGGCGTATCTTCTACCCTTGCAGGTAGTTGAGGCGGCTGTGAATTCGACGGCTGTTCAGCAGTGTTTCCATCCACCTGCGGGCTCACTGCATTGTCTTGAGACTCCTGGTTAGTTGAGGATGAAGGCAAATCGTTTGCAGGTGGCTCAGGCACTTCATTCTCCTTTTCTTTAGGCAACTCAGGGAGCTTTTCGTAATCGGTAACATGCACCCATATCCTCCGATATGCAACTGGGGACTCCTCTAGCGTCCATTCCTTGCTGTCAGTGTATTGGTCGTAACTACCAGCGGAGAACTCTATCCTCCCAGTACCGAGAAGATTAGGCCTGCCGAGTGATCCTCGCATTGGGTCCAAGAACCAGAACTTGATTTGCCGTGCATCTTTAACGCCTGTGAGCGTGTCCATCAATTTGGCGCGGATCTCTTTGCAACCATCTTGGTCTGAAAACGAGACCGTATGAATGAATTCAGAGTTCGTGTCGGCCCATTTTGAGTCAAAAGCATCAAAGAGACCAGGCCCTTCATGTTTGAGGAACACCCGTGATTCGATGACCTGGAATTCCAATGTCTTGGGCGGCTTTACTTCCGCGGTTGGCTTTGCTTCAGATACCGACTGCTCGGTGGGTATCGTTGGTATCGGTGTAGAGCCTCTGGAACTCTTTCTGTTCTCTATTTCTAGCCTGATCCACTCCGGTACTTGCCATTGTTCAGACCCAGCGTCTGACACAAAAGCAGACTGAGCTACGTCGTCGCGTATATACATTGCAATGTAAGCGATTGGGTCATTGCCAACGACCTGTTCTGTGCCCGGCTTGCCTTCGTGCACATCGACTGCAAGACGTTTGGGGAGACACTTCACTTGGTTCTCTTCCTTGCTGTCCGAATAGCTGTACCAACGAGATCCGGGGCCCTCGGGTCGAATGATTGGCTGATACACATACGATTGCAACGTCTGCTTATGCACTACAAATCCGTATAAAGTGTACGCTGTGCCGTGGACTGTGATGTTGTCATCGAGTGTGACTTTGTTGAGTAACTTGATGTGAGAGCGGGTTTTTGTACCGTCGAACGCGTGACGCTCCAACTCAATGGTCAACAGCTCAGGTAGCGGTTGCCCAGGAGCAGTAAAGCCATTCGAGCTATTTACAGCCTCCTGCATGCTCTCCACATCCACGACAGGCACACGGTAATTTGGAACATTACTCGAGTGGTCGCGCTTTGGTCCACAGATGGCGTGGAGCTTCGCCAAATGAGGCGTGTCCTGAAGTTCCTCTTCAAGCTTGAGCCGTAGAACTTCCCACGTCTCGATTACATCTAGCTTATTGAGGCCTTCGTGTATACCGTACCAATCAAGGGCATCCAGGATGTCGTCGAGAGCGACTGCGCCGGCTCCTGGATCCACTTGGGTTCGTAACATGTACAAGACTTGCTGAAATGCAGTGACAAGCGGCTTTGGGCGGACCAACGGCTCTTCATTAGGATCCGGCACGTTTATGCTGTACAAGAATTGTCGAAAAGGCTTGAAGAGCATCCACGTCGCAACCGCTGAGATCATGTTCCCACCTGGCGAACTGGCGTCTTCTCCAAGCGCAAGACCTTGCAGTCCAGTCATGGCAAAGCTGTCCCAAATGTTATCTCGGATAGGGTGCTCCCATAAGCAGCCAGTCTCATCATTGACAACGCGAATGTACGCGGTAAATGCAAGCTTGTCATCTCGGAGTAGTGCCATTCGCTGGCCGTGCATGCGGCGAGGTATCTCAAAATAAGGACCGTGGAATCGCGTCCAGCCCCAGTCTGGAGACCCACTGCAAAAGCGGTGCAAAGCATTACGCGAGTAGTTCACGCGAGGCTCTGTCGGGTTGTACAGAACAACGCATATCTGTGCAGCCACGCTATGGCGCCTAGGCACCTTTTTCGATTCAAGAAGTGGTAGTGGAGCATGCTGGTACTCAACTCGGGGAAGTGGGGCCGTCGCGTCCGTAGGCGTTGATCCAGCCTTTTCATGCCGCTCCGATGCGGAGTCTGACGTATTTTCGGTAGATACCGTAGAGTCGCCAGACTTCTCCTCGTCTTTTGGTTCACTACCGTTTTGTGTTGGGGCGTCGTTCGTAGTTTCTTGGTCGTCCTTGTCCTTTGGATCCATAACACTCAAACACTCCAGATAGACACTGAGGTATTCGGAGTCATTCCCCTTAGGATAGAACTTGATCTGCCATTGATGTCCACCAATGGTGACGACATCGGACTTCATGAGAATTTCATGATTGGGCTTCTCGCGTGTTCCGTTGTAGGCATCAATGGCCCAGTGGATGCGGCCCGCCTCGCCAGCAGTGTATTCCGGATCTTCGAGCGGCTTGAAGGCCTCCTTCTCCCAGTATTCATGGTCCAAGGCGCTGTGTTCGCCTCGCTCTTCGATGTACCTGAGTTCGTCTTCATCGGGCGAAGACATGTCTTCCTGAAGCGGGTGCCATGGCAGATGCTCTTCGTCCTCGTCTGAAGAATCGGTGTCGGAACGTGCGGGTTCGACGGGGGGTGGGGGAGGCGGGGGCTGTAGGTTGAGAGGGGCGGGCGGAGGCACAGAGCCAGGGTCTACGGGTGGAGGGGGGATCGCGTTTGAGAGAACCTCAGCCTGGTCGTGTGTTAGTGTTGGGTCCATTGAAACGCGCAAGTCCAGGACTGAATGTAGAGTGAGGCTTACAGAATCGTCTGGTACAGGGGACAGGGGTGTAGTGATAGTACCATCCTGTGCTTCAGAAGACGAATGGTTCAGTAGTAATGCATCCGGCTCAGCGTCCGGCGTCACGTCCATGGCATCCTCGTCTATAGCAGAAATCTCGACAGCGACTGTGTTGGTGGAGGCGTCACGATGCGTTACATTGTCTCCGTCCTGCATCTCAGCATCGGTCCGGTCGTGGTCCTGGCCAGCGGGCGGCGATGTGTTGTTGTTGTTATTGGTGGTGGTGGAGGCGCTCAGGTCCATGTCGGCAGCAGGCTGTGGTTGGGGAGAGGCAGGCGTGTGAGCATGGATCAGATGGGTTGGTGAGCGAGAAGGGCTTGAGAGCTGCTGGCTAAAGTGCAGCGGCTGTCGCTCGACGCTGACACTCATGGTTGAAGAGTAGATGAAGGCGCATGTGAAAGCGAGGAAGGAGCGTTGGACGTGTTTGCGGGTGAAGCAAAGATGGACGGCTGGGTAAAGGTGTGAAGACAAGGGATTGGCGAGAGGGAATATGCACGAGGCTGCAGGTAGGCGGACGGGTGCTGTTATCGGTGAGGGTCAACAAGTCGGTGGTACGGTCGCGTTGGCGAGCAAGTAGCACGGGGGGCTGTAGTCTGAAGCTCAGACGGAGGGCACGCGGGGGGGTTTATCTACTTGGGGCTGTGGCAGAGTGAAGAGCTGGAGAGGCCGGGCTGGTGTGTGGGAAAAAGGTGAGGTCAGGTACAGGCGTGGCTGGAGCTTAAGAGAGAGCTGCAGCCTACCAGCGTGCGGCAGCATGCCAACAGAACAGAGTAGAGTGAGGCGGTAAAGCTGCCTGGCAATCGGCCGACCACCCCCCCCCCCAGGCAACGCTATTCCCACCACGCCGCAGAGTTGACGTGGAGGGCATTACCATCAGCACCAGGCGCCCTTTTTCGTCTTCTCATGGCGGGGCCTAGGGTTGCTTGAGTCATCGCATAGGCATAGGGCTGCGTGGCATGGTTCGCTGCTCATTGCCATCATCATCATCATGGAGGAATCGCGGCACCTCAGCTTCGCGCTGCTGCTTATCGATTGCTCCACAGTCACCGGCTAGCCAGGCAGTCACGTTAGCGTTGTCGGCCTAGTGGGGAAGGTGGGCCCGATCGCGCCTTCCCTGCGTCAGCTCTCTCCGCACCATCAACGTTGCTCCATGCAAAACTCGCTGCGGCTTCACCTTGTACAAGCCATGCCCGTCATTGCAATACTCGCTTTTTTTTGTTTGGTTTCAATTAGTCTTCTGCCTTGGCGGCCACCCGTGCAAAAGTAGCCGCCACAATGAGCGGGAATACTACCGTTGCCTCTGCGTACACCTTGACACTGTCTCCATCCAGCTTGATCTTTCCCCAGCTGACAGCCTCGTCCGGCCGCGCGCCTGCATCGCTCCCATCAAACTCCTGGGCCGTGTTGATGTAGACGGCGCTCTCGGCACCATTGCGCATCAGGTTCGCATTAGCAATGTGGTGCTTCACCAGTCCGCCACCCAAGACAATCATGCCTGTCCGCTTTGCTCTGACTGCAATCGTGTTGATTTTGCGAATGTCCTCTACAATGTCGACACGCAGCTGTTCTGGTGACGACTTGAACGTGTGGAAGTACAGCATGTCGCCTAGACTCCCATCTGTGAGCGCTGGGCAGAAGACCGGGATGTCGTTCTTCCATGCCCAGTAGTAGACAGATCGCTCGTCGTTGATCTCCTTGCCCAAGCGGTGGATGACCTTGCTCGGGGTCCAGTGCAGCGGCTCGTCAGTCTTCTTGCTGGCCTCCTGCTCCTCGAGCATCTTGTCGAGAATGGGCACGACCCAGTCCTCGAAGGCGCAGTAGTTGCTGTTGGGGACAAGCAGGTTGCCGATGCGGTTCATGCCCTTTTTGCGCAGGCCGGCGCCAGGCGTGGAGAAGGAGCCCAGGTAGGTAGGGGCGAGACACTTGATAAAGTCCTCCTCGACGCCGCCGGCGGTGGTGACAATGGCCGAGACATGTTTATGCTGGACGAGGTAGCGCAGTGTTTCGCGCAGGCCCGACGAGATGAGATTGGACGTGTATCCGAGAAAGATGGTTGTGCCGTCGCCCGTCTCAGGGTCTCTCCAGGCGCGCTGTCAGGTATTAGCATTGACCCCCTAGACAGTAGTGTGGACGGTAGGCGCAGCGGTGGTCGTGTATGGCTAAATCAGGCTAAACGTTTCGCCTTTCGGGGACAATGGCTAGGAGCGGCGCACGGACGGCAGCCCTCCCGGCGGCGTAGCCAAGGGCAAGTGCAGTCTCCGCACTTGACGCTGGCACTGGCACTGGCACGCGCATGCGGACGATCGGAACAGAAGCAAGCAAGCAAGCAAGCAGCCAACTCACCATGTCATTGATAATCCGCACAGCCGCTCCCACCGAGGTTGCCTGGAATCCCATGGTGGCATAGCCGCCCACGAGCTCGTCGACGGTGATGGGGCGCGCTGCATGCTGGTTGAAGTCGATGCCCTGCACCTGCTGCACCCCCTCAGGCACCGGCTCGGAAGGCTTCAGCACGGCATCTGTGGCGCCAGCGGGTGCGGACGAAGTGCTGGCCATGGCCGGGTGAGTGCGCGTCACGATGGGCTCGGTGAGCGCAGACGGCGAGGTGGTCGAGGAAGGGGGGTTCGGCGTATTTGGGCGTTGGCGACTGACTGTTGGAGCACGCAGAAAGTGCACCCTGCAAGGCAGTGTGGCGGCAGATTTTTGAGGAAAAAGAGCCCCCACACCCGTGGCCAGGAGGGAGGCTAAGGCGTGGCACTGGCATCCCTGCTTGTGTGAGGCTAGTTCTCGGGTCGATCCCCTCTCCTCACGGTCAGCGGGCGCGGCCAGGCTCTGCTCGTCGTCGCCGTGTGTGTGTGCGTGCAGTGCAGTGCATGCCGGGCGCAGGCCATGACAGCGCAGCGCAGAGGGGGCGCGTCGACATGGCCCTCTGCGGCCTCGTGCGGCCGTCGAGGAGCGAGGGCGATGGTGTGCAGCGGGCAGTGTACGTGTGGCCCCAAGCGGCCTAGCGCGACCTGGGCAGAAATCTGAGGCAAAACCAGCTGCTGCCACCCCTGCAGGAATCGAGAATGTCCAAGTCGGCGGCCAATCACACGCGCCCTCGCACGCCTGCATGGACTCCCTCGCTAGCCGTTGCAGGCCAGCCGGGGCGTCCATTTTGACTTGCAGGCATCCGTCATGGCTGGGTGTCAGTGCTTCGTTCTCGTGTTCTGGTCTCCTCGACGTTCCCCTTCCCATCATCACACCTTCGTTGCGACGACGTCTCTCTGCACGTCTCCATGCCGTAGCAGAGCCCCAGTCCGCAGCCCGGCGAGACAGCCCCCCTCCTTTCCCTCTCAACTCACCCTACCAGCCGCTGCCTCACGTGCCCGGGACTCTCACCCACAAACCATCCCAGCGCCACGTCGACGGGCTGCACACTCTCTCCTACACGGCTCCCGGCGCCCTCTGCCGGCCCCCGACACGCTGCACCAGCTCCAGCAGCTGCTCTGCCCAGCCCTCTCCGCTTCCCGCCCCCCATTGCACGCGTTCCCACCGCGAGACGCACGCTTTGGGCGCCAGAGACGACGGTAGCAGATTGAATCTCAGCGCCCGGCGCCGAGAAGCTGCGCCTGTTCCACCGCGGATCGGGGATTTGGCGCTTTCCCTCATTTCCCTGGTTTCAAAGCACGGGCCCTGCCGCTAGCGCCTCGTCTACCACGGCCTTGCAAACACGAACCTTGAGTTACGTACCTGACCGACGTCAACCTACGACACCACGCCTGGCTCGACGAATCACGCACTTGGCCTGGCTCTTCCACTCAACCCTATTCTCACCCAACTTGCCCGTCGCCCGGACCGCCTGTGCTGCTGCTGCTGCTCTGATCCCATCCTTGTACCACTGCACCATCCACACCGTCAATCCAGCCAATCCAACCAGCCCATCACGCGACCGCGCTCTCTAACGACGGCAAATCGCTCCCTACCTGGCCGCTAAACCCTCCTTGTGCCCATGCCGCAACTGCAGTTTTCATTCACAGCAAGAGACCATCATCATGTCTGCCTCGCGGTACCCCGACAATGGCAGATACCCACGCGACAGATCTCCGCCCTACCGGGATCGAAGACCGTCCGCCTTTGGAGGCGGTGGAGGATACCCCCCAAGGGGTAACGAAACCTTTCGCCCAAACGCAGAGCCAGCCGGTTTCCCACGGGAAATCCCCAAAGGTCCCAAATCACTGGCCGATGCGCCACGTGGTCCACCAGCTGGGCCGCCCTCAGGCGCATCCCCAGCTCCACGTGATGAAAGAGCCCGAGGCTTCGCTGGACGCGGTGAGGCAACTCCATTGCGAACCGCGCCTCCACTGAGCAGCGGGCCTGGATTCTCACACAACTCCCAAAATTCTTGGAGAGCAGACCGCGACCGAGATCGCGACTTTGATCGACGTGAGAGACGACCAACTCCACCGCGCCGGTCGCCCATTCGAGATTCCAGGGATCTACGCGACCAGAGAGATTTTGCACCGCGTGATCTAGATGTCAACCGCGCTCGACGCAATTCCCGAGACGGCCCTCTCTCAGCAGGTTCAACGTATTCTGACCCCCCTCCTCTTGGTACAGCATCATCCTACCGTGGTGGAGGTATAGGCCGAGGCCGAGGTGGGTTTGCAGGACGCGGTAGGAATTTCCATGGTGACGACCGGGACCGACATCACGATCCACGTGACCGGATACCAGAACGTACATCATATCGCCCTAGAAGCCGGACTCCTCCTAGACGTCAAGAACGAGATATTCGAGAAGAACGCGACTTCGACCGGAGAGATCGTGATGACCGCAGGTTTCCCCGAGAGTATGATTCTTACATTGGTCCTGCAGGCACTGCAAAACCTGGATTACGCGCACTCGACACCCACCGCGGACCAGGTCCCTCCGACTTAAGACATCTTCCAGGCACACCTACAGGGCCAACGCCTCATTCTTCTCATCATGCATCTCCGTCTGATAGGTTGGGCTCACAGGGAGATTCTTACCCAAGACGGCCTTCTCTTGCCATTGATCCGCTCTCTGCCAAGGATGTCCGTCGGGAACCTGGTAAGGACGAGGCCCTGTTAGCCAGCCGTGCAGAAGCATCGAGGGAAAGATATGCTCCGCGAGCATCGTCACCTCCCGCTTCAATCCCGGCATTCGGTGGGTCTAATGTGTGGAGAGCACCCGTCACTGATATCAAACCAAGCACTGCTCCAGTAGCACCACCAAAACCTGTTCAATCTGCTCCAGCACCATCCGCGGCTCCTCCCACTCCTTCAGTTCCCACAACGCCTGCAGTTTCGTCTGGACCTGCTGCTTCGACTGCGCCTGTTGTTCCCACAACACCCGCAAAAACACCC